CATCATCCACCAGTGAACCTGGATAAACCTAAGCAGAAGTCCCAAGAAGTCTATCTATTTCTTTGCTGTGTTCTTCTTGCGCGTGGCAAGAGTTCTCGAGGTCGAGAGCGTTTGCACCATCCTCACACCGATCTTTATGGCCTTTGGCTGCTGCTTGTGCCTGGGAGAACGGAAGAGCAGTCCGACACGGACCGACCATCGGAACCCCCCGGACTGCCGTTTTCAGCCGCGTTGGTTGAGCACGTTGGCCGGACTGGGGTAGGTTTGGAGGGTCCAAGTACCTTTTGAGGAGGTACTTGGAGCCCTACAAATGTGTCCTTCAATGTCTTTCGACGTCCTGTTGCGTGAAACCTCACATTGGACGTATAAATGCCACTGGTTCAGACCTGAAGTGACAGACCAAGGGGGCACGAGGCTCGTTCAGACCTGAAGCTCGTGCATGCAGAAAGAGCTTTGCAAACACCAGGGTTTGGAACACGAATGTGAGCCAAGTGTATACATGTGGCGCTTGATCAGCGACAAGTTGATTCTGATTTGGGGAACATGAGCCACACACACAGTGGGATTGCCCATATAAACCCCCAACAACGGGTAGAGAGTGATATAGACTTTTGATCGTGTAATTGATGGGAACCATATGGAACCATAATCTATACAGTAACCTGCATAGATCTTGAGCATCCTTTTGATCCACGCCGGAATTCAGTCGTTGCATCACCTGACTTATTGTTGAAGTGAGGTCGGTTCAGTCCTATTTGCACGTTGAGCGGATGATGACTAGTGACTTGGCATGGCAGAAAAAGACAAACAAACTGTGATAAGGAATGGTGAGGCATGAGGAATACGCACCGTTTGGGTGATATTTGGGTGTGTATTGAAAGTGACACAGCCCTACAGCCCCACAAAGACCCATTAAAAAAGATTAAGCAGCACACAAATTGACATGAAACAGGCAAATTTGGGGGTTTGTCGCTGTGTCGCTCCAATAGCTACCAATCCTTGCAAACCAAACCAAGTATATACACAATATGCACTTCCTAAAGCAAATCCAAAGCCAGAGGTGTTTGCTTTCGATCTGGAATGTGATTTCTACAGCGGGGCGATTCTACATGACTAAGGGTTGCACTGGGATGCACTGCGATAATGTTGTTGAAGACACGCTTCAGCACAAAAAAGTAGGTTCAACATGGTGTTGTGCGTGCGGAGCAGCACAAAAGCCACACATGTTGTATCATTTTGCCGTATAGACATAGATGTGGGATTCAATACTTTGATGTTAAAGGGCATCCTTTTTTTTGAAGCCAGGCAAAGGCAGCATCCAGCTTTGGTCACTTTGGTCACCTATTTATACATAGAAGCCCCGTGTTCATGTGCCCAGACCGGTCGTCATTTGTGGGTCAACAGTCTGGCCTTCAGTCCACAAGAGCAACTCATACGAGTTCGTTGTGCCAAAGTTCGTGGACAGGTATGGAGAATGACGTGGATCATGATGTCATTGATGCGTTGAGGCGAGGTTTCATCCTGAGATGAGGTGCTTTTTCGCTCGAGCTTTGGACATCTACTACGGCGCTCTACCAGTGGCGGTACCCTGATAATAGTGGCTCCGCACCCAAAAGGAGAGTTCCAAGACAATCCAGCCATGGCCCACTCATTGATGGTCATTGGCTTTGATTTGAAACTCTCTTGTCGAAGCTGTGATAAAGCAGGGGCGTCACCCAGAATTAAGTTCAGTACATAAAGGTGCACCCAGTACAAAAATTGACATGGGACCCTGAAAATGAGCTTTTGGAAGACTATATTCCTCAGACCAATCCAGGGGTTCTTGAAAGACTCGCCGAATGTGTGTGTGTGTGTTTACCTTCCAGATGACCACCGAACCACCCAGGCGTCCGTGACGGGAACATCATTTGTTCGTTCAAAGCCACTTGCTCAGAAAAAAAAGACCAAGAGCACCTCCCATCCAACTGTTCAATGAACAAAGACAAAGCATCAAGACAACCAGTTGAATCATAGATCAGACTCGGTTGAACCACGGGCCCCTGCGGTGCTGCCGTTCGTTCGCCAGGTTTCCGGCCGAGCGCCTGCTGCCGCGCACGCCCGCTCGGGACCGCGAGTCTCGAAGCAGAGCCTTCTCGGGCAAGGCCGAGCCGAAAGGGAGGAGGCAGAGGAGACGTGGAGATGTCGGCCGCAATCCTTAGAGGTTTGGTTTAAGTATTTTTTGTTTTATGTATTATGTATTTTACCGTATTTTAATTCCCTTAATTTAAGGATAACCAAGTAATTTCCAGGAGACCTTTCAGACACTCTTTCAGATTATCGATCGAGTCATAAGGCTTTATTGTATTCAAGTCAATGTTCAATTGACCACAGGCCGGTCCTGCAATAACGAGCATATATCGCCAATAATTGCCCGCTACTGGGAGCTCAGCAGTACCCGATCAAACCGGACATTGGTCGAGCCTGGGAGCAGGCGTAGTGGCAGGGGCAGGTAGGGTAGGAGTCGCTGTGGTACATGTCGCTTGGCCTTAGAATGTTGATCCCTTTGTTGCCAACTATGGAGGGTTTCCAGGGTGTTCCACGAATTGAAGTAGACCCTTGATGAAGTATATACCCTTGATGAAAAATAGGCAAAAAATATATTCGGATTGTAAACGTCGTACTCTGCACAGACGTTGGCCATAGGATTGTAGAACCTATTGCTAAACAGACGTTGGCCAAAGGCCATAGGCCTAAAAACTTGAGCAACACTTGTTTGTCGTTTCTTTATTTCCAAGGGTGCCAAACAGAGCAGCTCAACCACAACAAATTGTGGGTAGAGATGCAGGAAATCCGTGTTATGTCATTTTATGTTCCCTTTTGAGCTGTTTGGGGGCAAAATAAGGTGCAAGCAAGCAACAGACAACACAGTAAGGTGCATAAGTGCGTGCCGAAAAAACTTGGTCATTTGAGCTGCCGAACTGGGCAGAACATAGGCTGGGAGGGATGAAGGCTGGAAAGAGGGATGAGTATAATTTTGTCTACAACAGTTTTGTACTTATTAACACCGTCATGAGTCATAATGACAAGTTATCATGCTAGCACACATGTTACATGGTGTTGTTGTGGTTGTCGTTGTCGTTGGTGTTGGTGTTGTTGTTGTTGTTGTTGACAAACTAGATAGCACACAGCTACAATTAGCCCGTGTGTTTGCACAAATGAACCACCACAGCTTAGATCAGCTCTTAGAATTAGGATGAATTGGCAATCATATATGCGTTCATTTAGACACGAAATGACACGAACAATGATCCCTTTTGGTGAATAAACAGCCTATATATATATAACCTCCAAAACAAACAATATATAAATACAATATAATAGTTCGATTAAATATCGTGCAGCAGGGATTTGGACGCAGTTGTAAGGAGTGAAAAAATAGTGAACAAACACGCACCTGAATCCTGAATATGTTATTTTGGGGGCACTTTGTGTGCCAAGAGGTGAGCCAGTAGCTGGGCGAATCGGGATCGAAAAACACAACCACATCTCTCGTTCGCTGCCGGTCCGGTCTCGACGTTTAAGCCGTCGTCTCGAGGTCTTTAAAGTGGAATCCTGAGAGCGGTACTGTGCGGCCCGCGTTGCGGTCCAACGGTCCGCATCAGAGTCCAAAAGGAGCAAAAAGGAGCAAAGCGCCAAGGAGGAGTGGCTCAAACTCAAGGCGAGTGGCTTGCACAAGGTGATAGTTTGGTGACCATGGGAAGAGGATATTATCCCCTTCTTCCGTCGTTGCTTTCAGATGTCTCATCAATTTAGTCAAAGTTGTGGAGGAATCGAACTGGAATCGAGGGGCAGTGTATCATTCCAGCCTGGTGCGTTGCTTCGCGGGAATTTCATGATATTTCTGACAAGAATGTCGAAGGGACATGCCAAGAGGTCGGACCCAGTAGCTGAGGGGATCATCATTTCAACCATGTGATTTTCTTGAGCCTAGAGGGACTGGCTGACTTGCAGCGCACCCCCTCCCGCACTCTTACTTGAGAAACCAGGAAGGAACCGCTTCACGCACAGCAGGTTGGAACCACAAAGACCACAGACGAGCCGCTCGACCGGTTGACGTTTCCGTTTGGGTGGACGACCTTCTCGGGTCTCGGGGGCGACCCGGGTCTCGGGGGACCAGGAGGGAAAACCATTGCTTGGGCCATTTGGGAGAAGAAGACCTGCTGATGACAGTTTATTAACAGGCAATCACTTGTTGATATATTTAGGTTCAAGTTTTGGAATGGAGGAGCCCCGCAAGGCTTGAAAGATCTAAACAGAATTCTCTATCTACGTTCTCTTTTCTCCAGGTGAGAAAGCATTCAATCATGCATTTGACATCCAAGAACGATGCAGGTGCGTCATCCGGCATAAACAGAAACATTTTTGTTCCAACGATTCCCGTCCCAGACTCAAGACCCTCCCCAACAGCCTCTAGACTTGCAGAGTGAGGATGAGTGGCACACCTATGTAGGCTTTGGCTCAACATGGACCATGGCGCAAGTAGGCACACATGGAGTCCGCAGCCAGACCCTCCCTAAGGAGCAGAAAGGGAAAACATCCACTTAGAGACTGGGCACACATGCAAAGAACTGCGGCCTCATGCATAATTGAACCCAGTAATGAGTATATCAGATATCAGACATGACTCATGACACAATGATCTATGACATTCCAGTGAGCTTCTCTTCTCATGGCATGGTTTCTCAAGTGAATCCTTTCATCCGAAGTTGATTTCGGATGTTCTGCACATTGGCTCATCGGCCGTCTGGGGAGGAAGCTACGCCTGCAGTTCCGGAAACGGGGTGCCGGAAATGGGGCCCAGAATGATCGAACAGATCAGACAGATCCACCACTCCGATGATGGAACTACTGGCGCTGGCGGTGTTCTTGGTAGAACTCGTCTCTTGGTACATGGTTCTCAGTCAGCATACTGTTCATGATTGAGAAAAAAAACTGAAACATTGCCAATTGGACTTGGACTTCCATGGGATCGGACGGTTCCATACTTGACCTTGATCAACCTTCCCTGTCATACTTTCGCCATGGAAGAACTGGAGCAAGAGGTGCCAGATGAACGGTGTGCAGATCAAGCCGGGAGCCCCAGCGATGTGCCTAGAAACTTCCAACTGTGCAATGGCTGTGGCCTTTTCATCTATGGCTGTGGGTTGTGGCACCCGGAGTCCTAAACCCTGCTAGGTTGATCTCCCAGGCCCTTTGTTCTGTTCATTAGTGGTCCTCCAGGGTCCCCCGGTTTTGATTCACAGCCTCTATAGAACCAGCCAAAAGGCAGAATTCTATCGTATCATATACAGGTTCACGCTGCATGAACAGCCGGACCAAGATCCATTCTGAGAACAACAGGCGGATCACTAAGGGGAAGAGGGATCAAATGCAGTCCGACGTTCACAGAGAGTTACATGCCACTTGTGTACCATTTTGCGTTCAACCCCTTGGGTTAGTACACTCTTTGTGGTACCATGCCATACAGTGGTCCAGGTGGTTTTGTGGATGGCAGGGCCATTCTGGGCCGGACATGGGGTGTCCAGCTAGCTGTGAAAACAGTTTCCGAGGAGGGGTCTAAACGTCTAAACCCTACATTCATGCCTGTTTTTGTGTGAGTTGGAGTGTAGCGCAGGTGTCTCAGACACGAAGACTTGAGAAGACCATCTTCAGGTTCGATCTTTATTGTGTCGCCTCCCCGTTCGACCCCCCATGTGTTTTTTGTCCTCCACCCTGGCTATAGCTTCTTAAAGAATACAACCCTGCAACCCCAAGTGCCTACAGAGGTCAAGTGACCTTATAGGACCCTACAGGGGTACCCATAGAGTAGTTTATAGGGTTCTTCAACCTCTGCTAAGGTGAGTCGTTCCCCTCTGTTCCTTGAACCTCCGCCCCTAAAAGCCCCCTCCGCCCCTCATCCAGCGCCAGCTCCCAGCTCTGAGGCCCTAAAGGATCGGGTGAAGACCTGTGATTCCTTGGCCTCCACGCATGCCGCGCAGGACTGAGGGTGTTTGGGGCGGGCGCCGAAATGTCGGTCGTTCACCAGAATCCGCTCGGTGTTTGGGGCATCGATGACTCCCACCCAAAGACTTTAAGGTATGAAATATGATGAAATATATTCGACATGGATCCCCCCAACTGGCCCCCCCCAAAATACAATATATATATATATAATATAGTGAAAAAGTATGAAACTGTCTAAGACATGTCGACAGTGACCCCCCAAAACCATTGGTCGTGTGTGGGCCAATGTTGGTAGACAATGAATGACAATGACCTGAAGAGTTCTTGGATGTCTCGACTCTTTTTCTTCGCCACCCCTCACCAGTCATAAAGATCAGAACATGATGGCTGGTCCGGCCTTGTATGGGGCTGTTGGGACGGCTCAAGAAACACAAGGCACGGCGGCACAGCGGCATGCCGCTGTGTGCAATTTGACGAACATCATCTTGCGGTCATGGCGTTTGTGCTGGTGGTACTCGCATTGAGCGTGCCTATTGCACAGGCCACTCACTGGGGAGTCGTTGTCCCTCCTGATGCGCCTCAAGCCCGCATGTTTCCCTCGGCGGTCCGTTGGGAACAGCAGGTGTGGGTCTTCGCTGGAGCTGAGCAGAACAAGTCGAACCCAACACCCACCAATGATTTGCACTGCTTCGACACCAGAAGTCCGGAGAATTGGCACCGTGTGACGGCCGAGGATCCTCCTCCACCCTTACAGGGGCAAAGTGCCATTGTGGACGATCTCTCGATCATGTGGGTTTGGGGCGGGTATGTCAACTCGTCTGGTTCTATAGAGAATCTGCAAGACGTTTACCACATCATTTTGGAAGATACCAAGTGCGAAAACGGCAACTTTGGCAAATGGTTCCAAGCCACACCCGAGAATTCAGTGCCAGCCCGAACCCAGCATTCAGCAGTTTATCTTGGAGGCACACATGGAGGCAAAGATGGGCAAATGGTGGTTTTTGGAGGACGAACTGGTGGCGTGTTACCTAGTGAAGCAGATACCTTCTTTGCTGATGTGCTCTACCTTGATCTCAACACCTTTGTTTGGACCAAGGTTGACTGCTCGAACCAGCCGCCAGCCCGCTTCGGTCACCGAGCAGCGACTTGCCTTGGGACATGTTTGGCGTGACGTGATGTTCTCATGTGGGGGATGTTTCTTTGCCTACAGAGGTTAGGTGACCTTATAGGATAGTCGAACTCGGGTTCTTCAACCTTTGCTGGTGAACCGGGAGTCACATGGAGTTGAGTGGTTTGGTTCGTCCCATCCAGTGAGTGGATGTGACAGGGGCACCCCGACTTCCTCCAAGTTCGGCACCCCGACATGTGACTCCTGGAAGAGGTGGTTTAGGGTTTAGGGTGAGTGGAACATATGCCATATAACCTTCAAACAAAACTATTGGAAACCCTGGGGAGGTTGCACCCTGGCTGCTTCAGTGATTTTAGGTCATGGGTGCCGATGGCCGCATGTGGGTCTACGGCGGCTTTCGCCTCGAAGGGAAGACACAGATGGTGAGTTTGCCTGACTTGTACTGCTTGGACACGGTGAAACGCACTTGGACCTTGCTCCAGCTGGCCTCATCCCCTGCTCCCCTGGGCTTTCATTTTGCGACCATGGATGCTGCAGGACGAATGTGGATCGGTGGTGGCATTGGCCATATTTCCACTGGGGCCAATGCTAAAGTCTTTTTTCTCGAAACAACAGCACAGCAGTTGTGGTGGGAGGAAGTGGAAGACTTCAAAGGAAGCCCCATCGGGTTGCCACTTGATCGGGTGGCCGCCGCTGCCGTGATAGAGCCTAATGGAAAGATGTGGGTTGTCGGAGGCTTTCGATTCAATCATGACAGTGATAGCCTGTGCTGGTTGGACACAGCTCTTGAAAAGCCGACTACAGCCACCACGAGCGGTGGTTTCTGGGCCACAACGACCAAAGCTATCATTGTCACCACCGTTGCCACCACCTCGACCAGCCCAGGCCCAAGCCCAAGCAGTGGCGATGGAAAGCTGGCATGGATCATTCTGCTGCTGTTGGCATTGGCTTCCATTGTCGGAGGGCTGCTTGTCCTCCGTCGAAGGCGCCAGGCACTACTCCTCGAAGAACGCCATGATCCGCCCCAGGTGGAGTTGGTTGCACCTGCGCTGTGAGAAGCGAACACGTTCGCCACGCGGTCCAAAGCGGTCCAAAGCGATGACCGTGGGTTCAATGGACGTGTGCTTTAGGAGCGGTTGTGGTGTTGTTTGGTCGTTCCATTGAGGCCAAATTGGAGGGTTCCCGACTTCCATCGCTCAGTAGTATTGTTCATAGTACATCATGGTACTATATAGTACTAGTAGTTATGTACTAAGTTCTTTGAATTTTCCAAGACATGCGTCCCACAGACACCTCCAACACTCGTTTTTTTGTTTTTTGTTTAAAAGAAGGACGCACGCCGGCCTGGATTTCTGGGCAGTGCCACACTTAAGAGTTCTTGTTGATTTGTTCTTACCCCATGCATGTCCACTCTATCCACCGACCCGTGCGTGACATTGGTTGATTTGTGCAGATGTTCCTCGCCAGGACATCTTCCAAGTCCGGCTTCTCGACTCTGCTGGGCGCCAGTGGCGGAGTTGAGTAAGTAGAGCTGTGATAGAGGTTCGTACAGTTGCTGGCGACTGGGCCTTCCTTTAGAGCACTGAACCCAATATTTAGATATACAGTACTTATATAGTTTATAGTGTAGCGCAATAATTGCTCGTTAAACAAGTTGATCCGGGTGCGAAGCCTTAAATCAATGGTGACCCGTGGTATTATGCGCAGAGACCCTTGCCAGGAATCCTATGACCATTGGAATCATTTGGAATCCCATTACCGCCGCCTGCTATCGACACGCGGTTGTTCTGAGCTGATTTTTTGGAGATCGGTCTATCGATTTGCTCGAGAAGAACAGGGCCGGGCCGTACTTGTAAGGTGATTTGGGTCCAAGAACACCGACTCACTCAACTTCAGGATGTCGGCGGATGTCGGTGGTGAAACTTCAATGGTGGTTCAGCTCGGAGGGTTGAAATATGTTGAAATGATTTCGATCTGTCACAGTGGCTTATTGAATGGCACCATGATGATGTCGGTGAGGTCTGTGAGCATGTGGCTGTGGGTCAACACCTGGACCGGTGGGTTGACGTCCCTTGTACTGTAGAGGAATATGTTCATGTTCAGCGGTCAACCTGGGTTACAGGGTTTTGACCCACAGCCAAGTGGCATTGGTTGATGGTGAGCTATTCAAGTTTCTGCATGGAGGAAGCTCCTAGGAGCTAGACTGCCTGACTTGGCATTGGCCAGGCAGTGTGCCAGACAGCTATTTTATGTTTTTCCCTTCAAAACGACCCGTTTGAGGTGTCAGAACCCCCTGTGTGAGATCCACCTGATGGTTTCGGATATTTTATATTTTCAACCCTTACTTTGGGATGATTGGACCCATTGACTAATATTTTCAAGTGGGTTGAACACACCAACCAGTTCACAGATCTTCCGTTTTTTACCATGCCCTCTTGGTCCATGGTCTGAAGCAGAGAACGCCGAACGCCGAACGGGCGGATGGCCTCAGGACTGAAGTCACTGATGGCCTCCCAGTCGAGAAGTGGAACACCCCAGTGGAACACTCGGTCCCATGGCACTGTGCGGGCGCGGTCGAGCGGTCGGCGGAAGGAAAGGAGCGGGAGCAGCGAGTGAACATGATAGATAATGATCATGAATCATTCAGTGAGGACTCCTAGATTATTTTGATTAAAACAAGCTACGTATGACTTTTAACAATCCAAATGATGCGGTGTTCTTCATCAGCCACCTACATCAATGCCTTGGAACAGCCTGGAACGCTTTTGATCCGGCCATATCTATATATATATATAGGTGTTGTCTTGGGCAGAAATTGAAAGAGGGCTCCCCGGCTCCCTCAATCTGAAAGATTTGTAGTATATTGTATGAGCTCATATGGCTGCATACAGAACGTCAAAAACCCAAATCGTTTGGTAGGTTGACTTCCCCATGTCACATATCCCAGACACGACTCATATGGGAACTGGCATATTAACATACTGGTTTGAACATGTTTGAAACCAGGATCAATTAATCAGGCATAATATTCCAGTCCCGGTCGTGTTTGGGTCGACCGTCCTGTGTTTTGTTCAACGTCGGACCCGTCGGACCCGTGGAATGGAAGGCTGCGGGAGAGGCGTCCAGCTTGGATGCATGAGAAGAGAACATCAAGGGGCAGGGCACCAGTGGAACCTCCCTCCTAAAGCTACCACCTTCCAAGAATTTGTCGAAACAAAGCCAGCCACCGGATGCGAAGCCTTGCGAAGCCCGGGCTGGATTGTTCCAGCCACCTTGGAAAGTCTACGTGCACGAAAAGCCGGCCAAAGCAATATTTCCTGATCAGTTGGGGCTGGGGTTTTGGGGGTTGAGCATGGTTGGCTGTGACAGTCAGAACCGATCACATCAGGTCTCAGGGTTTGTGGGTGTATCTTCCAAGCAAGTTGAAGTGTTAGGCTATATATTAGAGGGTTTCCTCGTGTTGCACTGGTGCCCAAGTGGTAAGGTCAGGTGCCAGTAGAAGTATCACAAAATAGATGTGCGATGGAGCATCCAATCATGCTCAGATTTACAAACCAGATGAGCGCCAAAAGCCAAGAAGATCAGAAAACAACTTGGGGGTTGTATGTGCTTGAACCCTTGCAGCTTCACAGGGAGCACCTTGGTCAATGTTGGTGGAAACACCGGCATTCCACCAATCCACTCCAATCTCCAAACATCTCAGATCTTCCAACGCCTTCATGCTGCCCAACCTGTGACATGCTGCCCAACCGTGTCTTCCAAAAAAGGGTCTCCAGTGCTCCCGACACGATGCATCCGAACCGTTGAAACACAGGACGCATCTGACCATCGGATGGAAGAGTTCCGTACAGGACCCTCCAAGGGGCGTGTCTGGAAGCCTAGTGTGATAGTGTGGGGTAGTTCAGCCAGGACAATTCCGACAGGATGATTCTGGTGTATGATACCTAGTAACTCATGGATGCTTTGGGAAATGGATGAACGCTTGCCCTTTCAGCCTCCATCCTCCGACGGTGCGTGACCGTCTCGTCTCGACCTGAGGTGAACGAGGTCAACGAGATCACAGAGGTCCAAGTGAAGATTGAGGCACGGCGGCCTGTGCGGCGGCGGAAACCGCGCGGCATTTTCAGCGCGTTTGCTGTGTGCTATGTGTGGTTTTGTAGGTTTGAGCATCCAGTTTGGTTTGGTTTATGCAAGGTCATTGACCAGTCTGTCTATAGTCTTATTGTGTGTTGGTTGAAGGTAAGATTACAATATCCAAGCTTCTTGTGATGGGGCCTGGAGAAGAAGACACAAATACAGGAAACTCTTATATATTTGTTAACTTTGATCGCGTCTTAAGACTCTTAAGATGTACAGATCGCCTCTTTGAAGAGAAAACGGTAACCGCGATCGCCTATCCTTCTTCGAGGACCCAGAGCCTGCAAAAGATCCGAAAGAGGATGAGGTGGAGGTGGCGTCTGGGTCGCATGTTCTGATATGGGTGTGTACGTTACTAAGGAGACCCGCCCAATCCATCAATGGGTTTTGATTTGTTTTCCTTCTTCCAGAGGGTCTTTGGGAGGGATCCCATGGTGTGCTGGGTGGCATGAGTTTGCTGTGAGATTTGATGGTTGCCTTTTCGTGTCGCATGGCCAGTGCTTCATGCAGAGTCCCAAGGTCTTCACATTGGACTCACTCGTGTTGCAAGGGGTTTCCCTCGAACAAATTCCCGGATTCACAAGGTGCAGCGTGGTTTTGAAGATGAAGTGAGATGGTTGAAGATTCAGACATGTGATGGTGCAGATTCAGTCAATCACAATCATGTGTGATGTATTGTAAGTCCACACATGTGCCAAGAAAAAAGAACCATCAGTGATTGTAAAAATATTGTTACATCTTACAATCAGTGCCACATCCCGGTGTGTTCTTTTTCTTATTTTTGTAAGTCCTTTCCGGGATGTGGCACCTCAAGTGCCAAAGAGGCGAGCCGTGCTTCCAGTCATGTTTAAAAAACACGGAGTGAGGTGGCGCCATTTGATTCTTCTCCGGTTTTGCGGTGAGTGCAAACGAGTGTCAATGCATCATGGTGCTAGACCACGAACTTGATAGGAGGGAGTTGATAAACCTGTTTCAAGGGTTGAGAGTTACAGAGAGTCAAAGCTGTGTGTTTTAACGCGACGCGATAGGTGCAAAGTTGCTGGAGAGAAACGAATCCAAATTGAGCGGCTTGTGCCTATAGGAGTCACGCTTTTCCAACCCCTGTATATAGTGTATATCGTATATATGAATCACAGTATAGTATATTAAGCTTACATTGCCCCTGAACTACACCAACTGACCGGCAAATATGCCAGTCTGAAGGAGTGTTTGGGAAAGTCATTTGGGTCAGCTCAACTGGAAGGCGGATGTGAAGGAAGACATCCTCCACCTAAGCTGTTGGAAGATGTTGGACATAACTGGTACAACTCCGACGTAATTATCGTTATCAGATGCAGTTAGAGGTTCAGCGAGAGGGGAGATAAGCGCCCCATTGAAATCCAACGCACGTAAGTTGCACCATTTGCTTTCACCCGAGTTCGACTCCAAAGTTCTGCTGTCACAGACATGGGCCACAGGAATAAAAAGGGGAGAATCGTGGTGTAAGAACATCGCAATGCTTTGCCTCATCCATTTCTGTCGCCATGGTCTCATTGATCCAAGGCCACTGAACGTGAATGGACTTTCCGAAAGAAGCTGCTGATGGCATGGTATTTGGCCATGACGGTGGTCTACTTCGTCTACCGCAGTCGCCGGCTTGCAGGGCGAGTTGTTCTTGGAGCGTCCGTTGGAAGATGATGGAAGATGCATGGGTCTATGAAGTCAAGTCCAAGGGTGTTCTCGTAGACTCTTGATTAATAACGTGCCCCCATATGAAGAGTTTCAGTTTTACAATCTAAATTATATATGTTCTACTCTTAGAAGACTAGTCTGCTGCATTGATTTCAAGTCTTACAGTATGTCAAAATGATATGATTGCCATTGATTGCCACTCTCCACTCAGTGCCGATGTCTTCAACGCCAGGCCTGACTTGCCAGCAGCCCATTCAAGGCGGTCAGGATACATGTGAGTAGTGTGTTTCAATTGAATGATAGCTGCATGTTTCAACTTTTGCTAACATTTTGTTACCAATCTTCACATCACTTGGCACATGTCAGTGGTCGAACCTACTGAGACCCGGCCACATCTTCTGCCATGCGTCGTCTCTCCGGACAGCGATACCACCGAGAGGAACGCCCGATAGGCGTTCCTCCAGACCAGGCACCTGCCTGGAGACCAGCGACCGCCGAACCGAGGTCAAGAGATCTCCATCTTCACTCCAGCGGCTTTTGAGCTGCGTTGGCAGGACTCAGCCACTTGGAGTCGATGAAAAACGCTTCCGGGTTGTCCTTGGCAGGCTGGTTTTTGTTGGGGGAAAGAGTTCTTCACGGACAGCCAGCCAGCCTAGGGGTAACAGGCATAATGCTGGGACATGGGGGCTTGTTATTTTGCCAGGCATGTTTGTGCAGGCTTTGGATTGGAAACACTTCAGGACTCCGCAAAGACACGCCATATATAGTGACTGCCCTAGTGACAACGTCACCATGCCCTTCCTAGCCAGACTGTATGGACCCCTTGGGAGACATGGCCCGGAACCGGCGAAAGCGTCCACTCCGACAGGAGTCATGGTTTCGTATGCGCCGTACCCATGTCACGTCATCCGGCAAGTCACACCAAGAGTTAAGGTGTATAGAAAAGGGCATATAACGAACATATATATACCTGGAGTCTCAGTTCGTACCTCGGACATTGGGTACAATGTACAAGTACCTGTTCTTTATGGGGTCAGGTGTATATATATATATTATTTATACATATAACTACATACACAATTTTTTCATGCGCAGCCAACATGCTCCACTTCACAGTCACAGTCCACGCCAAATTGGGTGGTATCAGCAGTGAATCAAGGCAACAAAGCTCAGCTTCTGAGGCTTGTGACGCAGTTGCCACTCGAAATTTGCACAGGGCCTAGGGCTTTCCGTTTTTTTCACCTCAGAGATCCACCTGCTGGTCGATGCTTTCCATGTCAGCGTGCTGCTTCCACTGCTAGTGTCTCCCCTCCAGGGTAGCCCAGGGTGGCTCCATCCACTCACTTAGAGACATTCCAGCATGAGAAACGTGGAACTCGTTTGAGCACTATTGAGTTCAATCTCATGCCACCAAGATTTGGAGCCGACCTTCGCTTCCGTCAGTTGTTTGGTTGTTTCTTCCCGAAGCCGAAGACCATGCTTGGTAGCTTCCGCGGCGGACCCCCTGTGTCGCCTGAGGCTGGCCTGCTCTTTGCGCTCTCTTTCCTGATGACGCGGAAGCCGTCGCCGGGACCTGTGCCATGAGCGATGTCAAAGGCCAACATTTAGTTTATCATTATCTACTCTCCCTGGAACTCACATGGAAGTGGAGGTCACCCCCTGTTTGTAGTGGATTTCATGGTCTTCTTTTTGGGGCCATGCCATCCACTTAACCATGCTTGTTTCAGGGAGTGTATTTTAAGTTCTATATTCGTTCCTTTGCTGTCACATGATCTAATCCTTCCTTAGACGAGGGGAGAACTCTTGGCTCAAAGTCCTTATCAGACTTCTTTGGGTCCCAAATCGCCTAGGATTGCAGCGTAATAAATGATGCTATTTGGGTGGACAGCTAGATTTCAGCATTTGCGGGACAGTGAAATTGGGATGGAGAGATCCTGTACTACAAGAATGCGTTCTTTTTGCCAGGTGGCTCTAGGTGACAGAGAGGCGTTGAATTGTGGCAGTCATAGCAAAACGGATCTGAAGGACATGGCTTATAAGTTCCTGTCACGTTTCAAGTCGTGGTTCTTTGGCATTCTTGGTCCATGCTTCAAAGAAGCGAGTAGTTTTGCTAAAGTAAAGTGCTCAAGACCCCACACCTGTGAAGACCCCCAAAACCATGGTTGTGTTCTCATTTCAATAGAGGATCCCCCAAAAAAGCAGCATGGAAAAAAATGAGAGGATGAGTTGAGTTCAATTGCAGGATCTTCTTAGACCAGAAGCCTAGCAAAGGAACTTCAATGGACGTCAGAAAACTCCAGTGGAAGTCAGGAACCTGGCAGATGCCAGCACAGTCAGGTTGGACATGGCACAGTCAGAGGTGGAAGATCTCCCTCCGCAAATATCTGGTATTGGGCTCGACGAAATACGAACAAACTCAGGCTCTCCTTCTCGATCTCCTCCGCTCTACAGTTGAACAGCGTGCCTGTCGAAGAGGGAGAACGCTACATGTTCTGCTATGCGCCAAGAGATCTGAATGCAGCAGTAGAAAGAGAAAGAAAGCGGATTGATGATCTGTTTGGTACCTCTGACTCTTTTCGAGTTGAACGTCTTGGATCATTTCGAGCTGCATCAGAGCATATCTCTAGACTTGTCAAAGAAAACGAAGCTCTGGTGAAGATGACAATAGAGAACTTTTCCAGTTGCATAGTTCCAGGAAAAGAACATTTCCTCAAAGGAAGGAAATTTGAACCATTTGTCCAAACCATCTGCAGAAAATACGGAGCTACAAAGAAAGGGCGCAAAGAAGCTCTAGAGTTCCGAAGGAAAAATTGCATCTATCAGTATACAGTGTAACTGTAGAAGTGGAACAGTTCTGCAAATTTTCTGAAAGATCGAAGCAAAGGGTCTGCTCCCAATTCATCCTCAACGGCTGGGTAGCTGAATGCGAATCCTGTTGTGTTACAGCAAAGCATACCGTAGGAGCTCGCTGGAAACTGAGTGAGCTCGTTCAAAGAGGACATATTTCACTCTACAAAGCAGTTCCTGGTCTCGGAGTCTCAAAGTCAGATCGGACCAAGGCAAAACTATATTCCAAGACCTTTTCGACTGGACAAACTGGAGAGGTAGTTTTGAAGATTCTGGATGCGATCAAAGTTGCTGGTATCTGCGGCTCTCGGAAGTTGACCACCTTTGTGAACATTCTCAATGACCTCTATCCAGCATGTCCAATGATAAATGCAGCAGGTTCAATCGTTGTGAACGAAATCAGAGGACTTTCTCGAATTGAAGAAAGGAGAAATGTTCTTGTGGAAAAGAACCTCGTTACTCGTGCCAGAACGGGTGCTCTTGCAATGTTTGCTTGCAGAGGTGTGTGTCTGGAAGAATCTGACTGTCCCACAGTTACAGTTCTTGCAAAGACACTCTTGTCAATACAACCAAGGGCAGCTAGAGTTGCCTTCAATGTGGTTCGAACACAATCGCATTTTGAGCCAATTGTCAAGAATGAGACTTCGATCTCTGCAGAAGAGCTTTCTTCTTTGTATTCTTCTGCGCAATTTCAACTCGGTGAGTATTTTCCCGTACTGAAATCTGCAATTTTTTCTGGTACTCTTTTGGAACGAGAAACCGTCGTTCCGATCGAAATTGCACTTCATAATATCACCTTTGGAGATCAAGGAAGGTTCCGACGTACAGCGACCACTGCGCTTGCATCACAACTTCAAAAGATGACTGTGGAACAGTTCAAGCTCGAACATGTAGCTTGGACAACTCAAATTCTTCAAGAGGATCCAAGCTACAATACGATTGGAACATCTCCTCAGATTATTGAAAAGGTACTGCCTCAATTCTCTCCAGAGGCAATCAAAGACTTGTGCGAGGTGGACAGGCCGCAAGACATGAGATTTTCTCTGGTCGTTCTTTCAAATCTCTGTGAAAGGGGTCTTCTGAGAGAAACAGAACTCATTCAGAAGAACCAATCTCAAGTTCTTTTTCAGTCCTTTACTGGACAGTCAGTGGATGAAACTGTGAACAGGTTGCGATTTGACCAATTCAACATCACGAAGTTCAGAGTCGAAATTTCGAAACATGTGGCAAATGGGCAGATTGCATTGACTCCTTTTGGAAGTACACACACCCTAGACCCTAGTCCATACAATAAAAAACGGCCATGTTTCTTTGGGTCGTTCGAAGGCATCGAAAGTCTTCGTTCTTTATGGACTGGATAACGATCTATCCTCAACAGAAGAATGCGATATCCCGAATGAATATGTAGTGCCATACATACAAGATATGACCTTTGGTCCTGTTGCAAAGTTCTCAAGGTCAAGGAATGCTGTCAAAGAAGTCGATCCAAAAATCGAGGCTTCGGAATCCTTTTCAAAATTTGAGGAGGCTTTCTTGAAAAATGATTTTGATGCGCTATGCGCAAGCGCAAGGGCCATAAAGGGAGCAGATCAGAAATCCAAACCAGGTTGGATCAACTGTCTATCAAGACTCATTGAACAGCTCTCGAAAGTTCCGATTGCAGAAACTATACAGGAGGAAGGAGAAGAAGTTGAAGATGAATGTGCCTAAGGTCTACTTCGTTTTTACAATTTCTTCTCAATTTGTACGATGACCGTTTGTCTCTTACAAATTCTTTGGTTCAACTTTAGAACGTTAGAATGAAAGAATGGCGGAAGGGGATTGTGCATATTTCATCAAGAGAGGGTTTGGGCACTAAGAACTGGTCGTGCCTAAGTCTTGCCTAACTTGTTCTTCTTGCGCGCACCCTGTGTGGCTGTTTCTTGTGCGCGCCCTGTGTGGCTGTTTCTTGTGCGTGCCCTGTCAATGACCTCTAGTGCGCTTGCTCCTCCCATCGATCTTGAAGGGGATGACAGCCCCGATGGCGTCCTTGTTCCTGTTCCTGGCAGTCCTCCCAAGCGTCCTAAGACCAACCTGCCAACTGCTTCCCTCCTGGTTTCCCCTGCAGTGGACTCCAATCAGCTGATAACTCTTATTCAGACCACTATCCAGGACTCTGTGGCGTCTAACCTTGCGTTTGTTTCTTCCTCAGTGCAGACTTTTGTGGATAGAGTCAGCAAGCATGATGATCGCCTTGGTAAAATTGAGCAAGTCGTGGGCAGATTGTCGGAGATGGAGGCTAGCCACTCTGGTCGCATGGACTCCCTGCAACAGGAGTTGAAGGAACTCCAGAAAACCATGACCAGTCCAGGGGCGCCCTCCGTTGGTGTTGAGGTGGCACGGGAAGAAATTGGCTTTGACATTGTTGTTGGGGGTTGGAGGGAGGGCTCCACCCGTGCATGGGTCGAGAGGGAACTGGCCCAACTGATTGCCTCCGTTGGTTTGTCCACACAGGTTTCTCAAATCAAGACTTTTGATAAGCGTCCCGGCGTTGCCAAATTCGAATTGGCCTTCGACGCTCACTTGCCTTTGCCCCGTCGCCGTGAGCAACAGCTCCAGGTCCTTACCAAACTGAGGGCTGGCAACTGGCAGCCTGAGGATGCAACCATTTGGATGACCACGGATAAACCTCTTAAACAGCGGCGGGTGTCCAAAGCCATTGCCATTCTGAACAATTTCTTGCACTCCCGGTTGGGCTTGGACCGTGGAATCCTGGAGGTCGCTTCGTGGGTTGCTGCCAAGGCCTTTGTGGGAGACTATCGTGTGACGGGCCTCTCTGAAGAGAATGCTTATGGTGCCAAGCCTGCTTGTGCTTCTGTTGATCTTCGTTGGCTTGTTCGTGACCCCCGTGCGGCTGTGAATGTGTGGCTCGATTTGGATGCACTGGCAAACGGGCTTCAGCTTGATAAGCAGGATCTTGCCTCCAAGTGGAGCGACCATGTTGGTCGCGACTCGGCGTGACATAGTGTGAGTCCTGCTTCACTTCCCCCTCCTGGCTACCAGCAGGGGCCTCCTCTCTCTGAGGGCGAGACTGTCTCACCCGGTGATGAGCTGAACAACAGTTTGTTACAATATTTGGTGCGTGGAAACTTCAAGGCAAGCGGCTCGCTGATGCCATAGATGTCCTCAATGATTTCTCTGTGGACTTGCATGCGCTTGCGCTCCAAGAAGTTGGCGGCATGGACTTAGCGGCTTCGGATCTTGCTGTTCTTCCTTCGGAACACGGGGGGTACCTCACGTTCACGGCCCAGCCGCCCGGGTGCTTTCGTTGCGTGGGTTTGGCGCTTGATGCTGACTGTGTCTCTCATTGGGGCTCTTGCGCCGTCGGTCACTCTCACTTCTGCTGTGTGGTGGACTTGGAACCCTTTCGTCCGAAACTTTGCTTGGTTTCCGTGCACCTGCCGCACAGCGGTCGTCCGCTGGCTGACCTACTTGCTGCCCTGTCCTCTCTGCGGTGTTGCTTGGAGCCTTTTGTCCGGCGGTACTTTCCTATCTGCGTGCTTGGTGACTTTAATGTTGATTTCAATCATGCGGGCAGCGACCGAACCACCACGGTCCTGCTGCATCTTCGGGCCTTGGGTTTGGATTTCGTCTCCACCGATACTGCCCCCACCTGGCGGGATCGCCGCTTGGATCATGTTGTTTGCAACTCTGCTGTGGTCAACTTGTGCCGGCC